CATCTCACCATCGCGGACCGTTTATGCGGCAGATCTCCCCACTTGTGAACATGGAAGCCATGGGCCGCATCATATCCCAGAACTGGCCCATTGGTTGCCTTTGGCTCCCCAACTACACAGGTCGTCCGTGGCTCGTCAAGGAAGATGTAATGTATCAGACTCGTCCACCAGGCCATGGCTCTGTGAGGTCCACGGAATCGTGCATCACCAACAAGCGAGTGTCGGCCACGATCCCAGTCTAGAGCGGGATAATATGTTCCCATGTGATCCTCCTAGGAAGGGGATATTGCATTAGTGACATCTGATGCAGCAGGTAGAAGAGCGGGGAACGCGGTTCAAGAGACGGGGGGATTCCAGATGCACACGCAATACATACCTTGGCCCAGTATACTTCAAAATACGCAAAGTAATTATCATCGAATCTAGCCAGGACGGCCATCTGATGGGGATCTTCGTCGATCTTGCGCAAATACTCGCGGTGCTCCTCCAGCGTGCCGGTTTCATTCCAATTCACTGCCACTCGAGGGTCGTTTTGCCATTTGTGGAACAGATCGAGGTGTGTCGGGTTCGTATAGTCAAGATGGTCCATGGAAAAGAATTCGTCCAGATGCGGAATATATCGACTATAAATCGGCGCACCACGAGCTGGCTTCGCGGGGCGGACAGGATGTTGGGCATGTACAGGGCGATCGGTGAGGTTGCTAGTCAGAGTGTACTGGAGTGGGAAAGCTGGATAGTCCGATGATGACCTCCGAGCGCTGTTTCCGCGCTGCTCAAGAACCCAAGCAGGCCGCGTGCCAAAGGGCGATGCAGCGCCTTGCCAGAAGGCGGCTCTCGAAACCACGATATCCTGAACTGCAGACTGCGACTTGGGAGCGCTGGGAAATGGCGTGGAAAGCCCAGTCGCATTGAGCTCTGCACACAGCTGATCTTTCTGCGCGCCGGCGAAAGAGAGTCGGAAGGACTCTTCAGACGGCGTTAGAGACAAGATCCCATAAACCAACGTCCATATCTGGCCGACGGTAGGTGCTGACGCACCATCCCAAGTCACAAATGAAACCAGGCTGCGGCATGCCCGCGCCCAAGCGGTGTTATCTGATTGGGATGGCAAAGCAGCCTGTGGGCTGGAAACCAATTCGCTAAAATATAGCAGATCATGATGCAGAGGTTCGGGAGGGTTTACCGCGCCGTTATTCTGGTCTTTGGACAATCGAAGCTGAAAGATCCGTCCATTGGGCCCGGAAGAAGCTTGGAAGAGTTCGTACTTTGTCTTGTATGGCTCGGGGAGGCGCACGAGCGGGAGGTCGCGCATTTCAGAGGAGGAGCTCATTGTCATGGAGCTGTTACAATTCTATTTAGGGTGCAGGAGGTGCAAAGATACCGAACTCTCAATTGTCCAAAGGGTTCAAATGGTTTACAGAAGGAAGAGCTTCGGATCCGGGCTCCAAAGGTCACACCTCAGCCTAATCCCTACGTCAGTTACAGCTATGGGGCTCCATCCGAGCTCTGGATTTCTCAGACTCGCGGCGCAGAGAACGCGTCCAGAGATATTCCTGCTCCCCTCGGTTCCATTTTCCATTGCCGAAGCACGAGCTTCAGCCGGTTCAAAGCCCTCCCTCATACTTACCCCAGCGGAAAAATACAGAACGTTTCCACCCAAACTGATGTGTATTTTATGGTATTGAAATTCAGTGCTCCAGTAATATACCATACAACAATACAGAACACACCACGCCATGGCGCACAGCGGAACATCTAATCTTATCCATCTGATAACCGGATCAGTTGAGCTGTTTTTCTTTTGCTTTTTCCATTGTCCCTTGGTACTCTCAATTTTGTCTCATCCATTCGTCATCCTTCCCACAAACCATCGAAACTAGATTGATCTGATAAGATTAAAATTTTTATCAATCAGGCCACTCCACGGCTGCTCGGCAATCCTCCGGTAAGACTGTATGATTGCGGGACTTTGTCTTTACCTCTCTGAGGATCCCACTTTGCCGCGCGAGTTATCAGATCGTTTAAAGTTAGCAGGTACTGTGTTATGGGGGCCGTGACCCGGATTAACCCGGCCAACCACGCTATGGTGGGCCATCCCTCGTCAACGCACGTTGCAGGTATGCACATCCTCTGTGGTCAGAAAGCAGGGAGGTCGTCTATCCAGCGCCAACTATCAGGTTCCCAGTCATACAGACTAACATCCTCAGCCGCCTGCTATGAAAAGACTATCTATCCGCGGAAGTGCCAATTCCGCAATCGCACAGGCAATTGCCATAATAATCAGCTCCAGCTTGAGTAAACGCCATGCCCGAGTTCGGCTCCAATTGCGCGATATGGGTCTGAACTAAAATGCAGCGGACAGCACCAGGGTGCGCATTGAAACCTGTTCGCCTCGCCACGATCAATCGGCCCGGGGTTGTGTGCCTGCTCATCGTACCACCCACCCTCCGCTCTGTATAGCCAGTACGGAAAAAGCGCGCATGCAGTTTTGTTGTATCATGTATGGGGCAACTAAACAGTTTCGGCTGGGGGGGTAAATATTGTGTGGGTGGTGGGGCCACAAAACGCACAGAACAACAAAGGCAAAACAACAAAAAAAAAAAAAAAGAGCCAGCCCCTCTCCTCCCCCGTTCCCTTCCTCCGTTGACGCAAGCGGAGAAGGAAGAAAATTTTTTATCTGATCAAATAGCGCGGTAAAATTCGCGTGGCTTGACAAGGGTACAAAACTAGTGGTAAGTACAGTATGTAACCACGATATGGATCCGTACATACATACATACGCGGAGGCGAGGAAATTTTTGAAACGGCGAAAAGAACATACATACATACTCCATATCATACCATACAGACATACCATACGCCGTATCCATCAGTGGGGTGTATGTATGTATGGAATGTATGTATGATCCGACCCGGCAGTTTTCATCAGATAAGCCGGCAAGCAAAGGATCCTGTGAAGGAACGCGGCGGGGTCCGTTGGAAGCCCGGAATGAAATATTATCCGGCCCTGCTCAACGGGTGCGCAAAGCAGCAACATATGCCTAGACTAACTAGTTACCCATTTCTTCCAGTTCTGAGTTCAGCCGCCAACCTCCAATGGGCCGGGGAGGATACGACGCACGGTGTGCCAGAACGGACATTTGCGCGCAGTGAATGGTGACTGTTGATTCTTCTTGGCATTGCTTGCTGCATGGATTTCGAGTTCTTTATGAGACTCAGGGGTTGCGCTAGGGGAGGAAGGGGGTTCTAGAAACTTGAACTTGAGGGTAGTTGTCATATATAGAGCCGAGTGAACGACAGGAATTAATGTATGTATGTACATACATACATACATCGATCAACCCAGCCATCATGGGAATTCCGAGCAGCAGGGAGTAAGGCTGGGTGTATTTGTAGTACATTTTCTGGCCATGGTCTCCAAGACAAGTAGCAGCAAAAAGCTTTTGGCGACCGCCAAAAACACCCCTGGATGAAGATAAGCGGCAGTTTCGGCGGCCGCCAAAATCAGCCCTTGTCTGGCAGCGAAAAGCTTTTGGCGGCCGCCAAAAAACACCCGTGTCCGGGCGACCAGCGGTCTTGACATAGTCCAGCCACATAAACACACTGCAACACAACGCAGCGGGAGGGATTGATATGCTGCATACATTCTGCACCTCCCTCAACCTCTAGGTAAACCTATCCACCCCCAAGCATATCGTTTCTAGAAAGCACATGCCGATGACTAAATTATCAATCGGACCAGTTCTGCGCTGGAATTCAGGGGCTATCTATGTACAGCAAGCACTCATTGGAGGCTGTATATGCAGCTGTCTTGCTGGAGCTCGTGGTCAATGGGTCAATTAGCTGGTGGTGAGTTGCTGGAAGCAAACATGTCAGGGAGCGTTGTGTTTATTGAAAGGCTCGATAACCAAGTACCACCAGCAACGTATGCTGCCATATATAGAGATCAGGGGATTCCGCTGCTTCATTAGCTAGTTACTAGTTAGTAGTTAGCTAACCATCTAGTTAGTGAGCTCACCCATGCCATCCATCTCCCGCCTTCCGAGCCATATTCATAACCATTCTCATTCTCATTCTCCTGCAGTCCTTACCTCCTCTCCTCCTCTCCAAGTCCATTGACCTCAAACCGCGCATGGTTAATACCAGCCAAGCAAAGTGATTCCTACATCCTTTTTTATACTCACACCCTACCTACCACAAACAACCTAACCCCCCACCTCCAAACCACACACACACACACTACACACATACACACAATGCTCTCAACCCTCTCCCTCCTCCCCCTCCTCCGCGCCGCCCCCCTCGCCTCCAGCACCGCCAGCCTAATCCACGCCACCGCCGAACTAGCCACCAACAGCGCATTCCTCGACCCATCAATCCGATCCCTATCAAACCAAGTCTTACCGATCTGGTTCTCGCACGTCTTCAACCGGCTCGTGTGGGTGGTGGTGGGGTTGAAGAGCGTGACGATCGCGACGACGGTGGGGAATATATTGGTTGGGCGGCGGGCGGGAGGGGGGTCGACTACATGGTATTGGGTTGGGTTGGCGGGGGCGGTTGGGCATTTGATGTTTGTGCCGTGGGTGGCGGGGCCGGTGGGGAGGATTGTTAATAGGAGGAAGGGGGGTGAGAAGGGGGAGAAAGGGGGGAAGGGGGGTGAGAAGGGGAATGGGGGGGATAAGGGGGAGGTGGAGGGAGAAGGGGAGGGGGAGGGGGAAGTGGAGGCGACGCGGGAGATGGAGAGGTGGGTGAGTGTGCATCGGGTGCGGATGGTGGTGGCGGACTTGCCTGGGTGGTTGGGGTGTTTGATGGCTGTGGTGACAGCGGGGAGTTGATGGATGTTTAGATGGTTATCTCAGAGCTGGGGAAGGGTATGGGGTGGATGGATACCAACTCTCCTCAACACATTGACTGCTCTCTACTCTCATGGGCGTTTATGGTCATGCTTCGTGTAATTGTAGAAATAAATAAAAAATAAAAATAAAAATAAAATAAAGCAATGACTAGACTGGGGTTCGATCCCAGGACCTTATCGGAACATGTCGATGACGATGTGAGCGATACGTGATAACCAACTACACCATCCAGCCAGTTGATGGGCGATTTGGCCCGGATAGCATGCAGAGGATCCGAGTGCATATGCATACGGATGACATCAATCCCAGCGATCCATCCAGTCTGTTGGTCGTTTTGAGTATGTCCATGACTCCATGTCAACGGGATGTCAAGGAACAGCAACGCTAAGAGCGATAAATAGAGGGTGAATATGGGCGATAGACAGACTCAGAGTTGCACCATCCCAACAGACTCGAGAGAATGATGAATCTGTGGAAATGACGAGTAGAATATGAGCAGGCATCGATATTCGATAGCCGTATGGTATGTATCAATACGTATTGATGACTAACATCACATGACTGTCACATGACTACCTTCTCCTGATTGGGTGTTTACTAGCGCCTCGCTTAGCAGAGCCGCACTCCCATTCGACAGCCCTCCGTTTTCCCTCGACATCCTCCCAATGAAACGACGACATTCCTCCTCCACCGCCACAACCACCAACATCCCCAGCCAACAACAGCCAACAACTGCTCCCAATTGCCCTGGTTTGCTGCTCTGATTTGACCCTCTATCCATTGCCATCCACTCAGCGTATCCTGCGCGCCTATTCTTAGCCTATCCCCCCCCCGTTTCACCTGCCAGCGTCTGGGACAAGAAGCTCCTTTGCCTCTGCCAATCACCGCCCCCGTCCCCAGACTCATCTCCTCGCTCCCCCAGCCTGTCTCGCCAGATCGATCGGCCTGTCTCCAAGCCTCCAGCCGCCAGGTCAGGCCCCCGGCGTGACAGACTGCCACCGTCGCATCAGCATTGGCACATTGGCAGCGGCTCTCCCGACCCAGCTTGAAACACCCAAAATTCAGGCCGGGAAACACGCCCCTGCTGGATAGATTACCATTATTGTATTTAACTCTTACTCCAGCTGCGCTTTTTGCTTTTTCCGTCTCCTCCCGTGTCTCTTTTCTCTTCTCGGTAAGCCTCCTGTTTCCTGCTCTGCTCCCCGATGATGTCGTCTGCAGCGCCCGCTTTTGCCAACGCATACATCCCCCAATCACTCGCGCCTCGTCTGCTTCCACCGCCTCCGTGTCGCCCTGCCTGCTTGCTTCCCTGTCGCTTCTGGCTGGCTCCCGCTGGCTGGCTTTATTTGATTTTTTCTGCCTCTGATTGACTTGTTTTTCCCCTCCCACGCCTCTTATTTATCCTTGCCTCCCCCAATAATATATTCTTCCCCCCCCCTAACCCTCAACGTTGCACTCGCATGGCTGACTCTTGATCGGCTCGCTCTGACATCAGCATCCCCGTCTCTCAATCCTCGACTTGGTGCTACTTGGCAGTCCCGACAACCCATCTTGACCCCAGAAATTACCCGGTTCCAATTCCCAGCTTTGGGCACCGCCTCGGATCTGACCTACGACGTGGCAGACACTAAAAACTCACCTGTCCTCGCTGCGCTCAAACACGAACTGCAGCCTCCTGCGCTGGCTGTGAATTGTTCTATTTTTTGACGTTTTCCGCTTTTCCTTTTTTTGGCTATTTCCCTGCTTATTCCCTCATTGCCACACGCCTGGGAAGTTAGAACACCGCCTTTCCCCCCACTCGAAAGTAAAAAAAAAAGTACCGCCCTAAAAAGGACTGCCCAGAAAAAAATAGGAAAAAGAAACGAAACGAAAACAAACCCGACCGCTGTTTGACAACACATCAACGCGCTCTTGTCACCCACCTTACCCTTCCCCCGGTTTGCTGCATCAGAGCCCAACCACGTCTGCCCTGCCATTGCGCTGTTCAACCCTCGCTCAAAAGGCTCGGTTTACCTTTTTTTTTAATTCCTTCCGTCTTTCGTCTTGAACCCCGTCTCCGTCGCGTCAGGTTTGCTGCTCTGCTCTCACCGTCTCTTGTTGAGTGTGCACTGCCGCCCATTTTGGCGCCGACCGCTGGCATTGGTCTGTTCACCCTCTCCCATCTTCGCCCTAAATCCAGTGACCACCCCTTTGCTGCATTAGGTGCTGACGCGACCGAGGAGGCTGCAGATTCCCCATCCCAGCGATATCGAATCATCTTGTCGCGCTTGCTCCCTCCTCCCCTTCTAAACACCACTCCGTCCCACCCTATCCTGTCCGACTCCATCCTCTCCTATCCCTCGATCGGATCCATTCGCTGTCTCTAACGGAAGCCTACCACTCCATTGGTGCGCTTCCAAGGCTTGCCGCTGGTTTCTACCAGGCAGAACTCGCGCTGCCATTCTCAGCCCCTCGTTCGCTGGCTCGACAAAAAAATAAAGTAACGGCATCATGGAGTACCCTCCGCAATATCAACAACCTCACAGCCAACACCCGCACGCGTCCTCACACATGCCTCCTTACCAGACCTCGCCTGCCAACGCTGGCCCGCCGGTCGGGTCCATCACTTCGCCTACCAACCCGCAAGCACACATGCAACATCCTCATCCAAACCATCAAGCCTCGCCCATCCTTCCTTCGCAATCGCATTACCCGCCATCACAGAACGCGCCCGGCCAGGTACACCAGCAGATGAACTATCCTCAACAATATGCTCCCCTCGCACAGTCCTACGGCATCTCCCAGGCTGCCGCTGCTGCCGCCATGGCCACCGCCGCTGCGACAGGGCACCAATTCTATCCTCTGCATCAAGACTCCATAGGCGGCGCGATACCGCCCGGCGCGCGAGGATCGCCGCGAATGTCGTCCAGTCAGGTCAAGAATGAGCGACATCCGCGATCACCTCCGCAGGTATCCGGCCAAGTCCCTCCGCTATCCAATCAAGTCCAACTGTCGCAAAACGCGTCGATACAGCAGCAACAGCAACAGCAACGTCGCATGAGCCAGCAAGTCAGCTCTCCGCATGTGCAAAACGCCCAACCCGTCCTCAACCACACTCTGCAGCGTCCTCCAGGCCCCTCCATGTCCGCGCCCACCCAACATCATCAGCCTCCCCCGCCCCAACAGAACCAGCCGTCACCAGAAGTTGTCGCCGGCGGCGCAGAAGAATCTCCTCTCTATGTCAACGCGAAACAATTCCACCGCATCCTCAAGCGACGCGTCGCGCGACAGAGGCTAGAGGAGCAGCTCCGTCTGACGTCCAAGGGCCGGAAGCCCTATCTGCACGAATCGCGCCACAACCACGCAATGCGCCGGCCGCGCGGTCCGGGTGGGCGCTTCCTCACTGCAGATGAGGTGGCTGCGATGGAGAAGGCCGAAGCGGCCAACGCGACGGGCATTGAAAACATCCCCAACCACGGCGCCAAAATGTCGCATACCACCTCACCGGGAACCAAGCGCAAGTCAGGTACTGCCGGCCTAAGCAATAACCAACACGGCGGGTCGGGGAAGAAGGCCAAAATGGGTTCTGGCGCGGCACAACGGCGGCCCGGCACAAGTATAGATAGCGATGGCGATGCAGATGACGACGGGTGATGGCATCGTTTTCTTGTCTCGATAGTCGGTAGGTTTCGGTACGAGTTATGCCATGTTCAAAGTTGCGCCAACAACTTGATCGGAATTGAATTGCTTTGCTTTACTTATGGGTATGATACGCTATGTTTTGGGAGCGACTGATTGATCTTGCTTGCTTGGAATGGGATTTTCTATCGTGTTTTTTGCTGTTCGGTGTACCGCGGAACGCCTGCTTGGTTGATTTTGTGTTTTGAAGCCTGTCTGTTGTGTTTTATTTTTATATACCTGGAAGCCAACTTCTCTCATACGTCATTCCATGCGTTGTCTTTGTCCCATTGTTGCCTTTGTTTCTTCTCAACCGTCATCTCTTTAATATCATTGTCAAATTTCTTACCGTCTTTCCATCGTCTTTGTTGGTTGGGGTGCGTGCGTTAGGTTAGGGTTGGCTGGGGTAAATAAGTTACGTTACCCTTCCCTGCTCAATTTTTTTGTTTTTGTTTTTGTTATGACCTATGTCATTTTTTTTTCCTTCTTCTTCCCTTTCCTACAGGATGGAAATCTATCTATATATTACTACCACGGCATACATGCCAACGCTTCGTTGCGGAACTATTGATATCTATTTGATTTTATGCGCTTGTTTGTTTTTTGCTTTTTGTTTTTGTTTTTTCTGTTTTTACTTTTCTCCACCTGTTTAAAATTAAGTCGGACTGCATTTATCCATCCATTCATCCATTCATCTATCTATCCATCATGTTTCTGCAAGGCAAGGATGGAATGTTTTCTAAAAGAAAAATTGGTTTTAATTATTTATCATGATTGATTATTATTCGCCGCTTCATTTCATGCGTTGATTGATTTATATTTACTTGACCAAGTTTATCAAGAAACATTTTCTGGGTCTTTAAATACATTTTGATAATTCATCACATCCATCCGTCTGTCTATCTACCTACCAGCACGACTGAATGAATTCCCTTTTAACAATATGTATATAATAGCAGATTAAACCCTCTCAAACCAAATAATTAAATAAATAAAAAGCCCCTACCTGCCCATCCGCGTGGTATGTACAAACCCCACGTGACTTTCAACCACCAGCCCTAACAACAGAGCTGATTGGCCATCCACCAACCTCCTCTATTTCCTCCTCGATGGTGATGAGTGTCCATTGTCAGGTATATAGATACATAACTATCTATATACAATACAATACGATGCAATATGTTTCTCTGTTCTCTGCTTTGTCAGTCAACCAAGGTCTTCGTTAAGATCAAGTTCCCTTCGGCGGGAGTGAGTAAAGAAAGCAAGCTTTCATCCTATTCGGGAGGTGGATTCGATGGATTGATTCAATTGGACCAAGTCTATTTATCTCTCTATCGATGGTTTTTCCCTACGTTATTCTACTTCACATTTTTTTATCCTACGGAGATAGTTCCTCCACCCCCCTTTCCCACCCGTTGAATTCAAGTTACGAATCGACGGCGATGGGAAGATCAACTACGACGGAGTAATAAATAAGGGGATATCGATATCAAATCAGCACATCATCTAGCTAGCTGATCGACCAATGGATGAATGAACGGATTGCATGCATGCATTAGTCCTCGTTCAAAGCTGGG